ATGGCCTTTTTGATAATGTCAATAGAGGTTTCAATACATTATTTGCAGACTCATTTTCCTAAATCAAAATTAATTTTTAATATACATTTCATAATATGAATATTATAAAATACTGTATAATAAATTTTAATAATGCTAACCTGTTCATTAATTTGTCTATTGACTTGTGCTTGCCCATCATGCACTTGCCCACCTTGTGCTTGCCTGCTATTCGCTTGCCCACCTTGTTCTTGCTCGCCATTCACTTGCCCACCTTGTACTTGCCCACTTTGTGCTTGCCCACTTTGTGCTTGCTCACTTTGTGCTTGTCCACCATGTGCTTGCCTGCCTTGTGCTTGCCCACCATGTGCTTGCCTGCCTTGTGCTTGCCAATCTTGTGCTTGCCTGCTTTGTGCTTGCCTGCTTTGTGCTTGCCTGCTTTGTGCTTGTCTGCTTTGTGCTTGCCTGCTTTGTGCTTGCCCACTTTATGCTTGCTCACACACTTGTGCTTGTAGTTCATTGACTTGTGCTTGTTCATTAATTTGCTCTTGTTCATTATCATCTTGTACTTGTAGTTCATTGAATTGCACCTGTTTATTGAATTGTACTTGTTCATCAGCTTGTGCTTGTAGTTCATCAGCTTGTGCTTGTAGTTCATTAGCTTGTGCTTGTAGTTCATCAGCTTGTACTTGAAAAAATAATATGTTTAATATTTTTTCAAGACAATGTGAAGTTGATGTTTCAATATATCGATTTGGTGTTTCATAGTCTTTATATTTGCAAAGACAACAATTATATTTCATAATACACTTCCAGTGAAAGAAGTGCTTGCAGTTGAGTAAAATTACTGATTGCAAAAGATTAAGAGAAATTTTACAGCTACATATTTTGCAAATATTAGAGTCTCTACATTCTACAGGAATTAAATCATCATCGTCGAAATACAATTTATAAGCAAATTTTTTCAGTTCATCTATAATTAGTAGGAAAAATGGTTTTACTATGCACTCACCCAATTGCTTTATAAATACATTAAAAAAAATAGATTTAAGAATTAGTAATCAAATAATATAGACTCGTAAGTATAAATCTTATTATGAGTTTAATTTTA